ATAATAATGAATTAGAGTTAATACAATAGTAGTTTTAATACTACGAAACTTGTGGGGAAAAGTTATATTTCAAAAATAGAACTTTTTGAGCACATTAACAAAAGAATTTTCTAATTAAAATTAAAATATGATTCCAAAAGCGATTATACTATATTGGGACCAATCAGAACGAATATAAAATCAAGTTTGCGCCACACATGGCGTCTAAGAACCGACGCCATCTAACGTCTGGCATTCCTGTTTTTTTCGTGCGGGTAAAATCACGGCTTTCTATAGCGCGCAACGCAAGCCTTTATCGTTTTTGTTTTGTAGAATTTGCCAAGTTAAATGGTAATCATTGATAAATCTACTATGCCACGCGTATACCGGATGAAATGTTAGCCGAGGAGAAACGTTCGTGTGCCGACGAAAGTATGCGGGAAAATGAGTTAACCGTGTGTTAAACGCGCAGTGGTCAACTATCCAGTGGAAGTTTAGCAAAGGGATATATATCCGTACTCAGGACTTGATAACGTCGAGGTAATTGTTTGTTAATCGTTAAGCTCGAAAATTTCGCATCGAATCGCCCAGCGTTCGGAGAATTTTGCCTCATCGAAAGTTTCGTGTTTATGTTTACTCCTCTAATTACCCCCTCCCTCTTCAGCCACCCTCTATGCCTTAGTTCTTCCTGATATTCTTTTTCATTTTCTTCATCCTTTATCCCGTATTTTCTTTTTGTGACCTTAATTTTTTTCTTTTCCTCTGTTACATAATTTTACTTTATTTTACCTGTTTATTATTGCATTGGTTTCAATAACCAAACTAAAGTGTACTGATACTGATGAAGTATACTGATCCTCTTTTTAAAATACAAGCATTATTTGATTGAATTATGTTTAACATTCTTTAATGTAAAGATGAACTGCTAGTTGATGAACAAATAAAAAATAATTGGAAGATAATTAAAGATTAATAATTCCGTAATAGTTATTTATATATGTATTTGTTGCATTTAGCTATTAGACGTAGCGTATGTATAATTTCACTTCAGTGATATTAGTTTTTTATAAGTATTTAGAAAGACGTATTTAATCAGTGAAAAATGAGTGCATCGGCCTTGAAGTCAACGATACCTGGAGTAGGTACCTCTCCAACATCTACCAGTCATTCTATTCTCCCTATGAATGCAATGGCACAGAAAGTAGTGTCAGGATCAGAACCAGGATCTATGAAACCGTTACCAGCAACTGGATTAAGTTACGTTACATTACAACCACCCAGTCAGCCTTTGAGCTTGGTACAAGATCATAGACCCTCCGTCTATCAAACGCCACCTTATGCAAGCAGCAATTCTGAAAAGGAATCAGACTTGGATAAATTAATACCAAACGGTGTAGAGATTATAAAAACAGAGACAGAGCAAACTATGCCTGTTACTATCAAGCAAAGTGAATCTAACAGAAATAATAACTTAAGTCCAGACAATGCTACGCAAGATTCACAAAAGGAAATCCAAGTAGAGCAAGAGATGGTACCCACTAATCTCGAAATACCTGGTCAGTAAAAGCTCGATAAATTTTTTATTAATTTTAGTATTCGATTATTCTAATAATTATGGGTTACTTTAGCTATATGTCAACAACTACAAAACAAAGTTGAAGAGAAGAAGTCTCCTGTAAATAATAGTTCGAAGGAAACTGATTCAGTTCCAACTAACACGACGTTGCAAACAAAACTGACATCACATAAAGTGGAAGAAGTATCGGTGAAATCTGAGAGTCAGAAGTCAAAAGCCACAACTCAGAGCACGAAAGCTGCAGATAGTCCTGCAGTGGTGCAAACAAATAATCCGCCGAAGGTTGAGACGAAGGTTACTGGTTCACCAAAAGCAAGTAAGAGGAAGTCCAGAGAATTAAAAGATTTGAAAGGAGTATCAACAACTTCGGATGGAGCGAGCAAGCCAAAAAGAAATCGAATCCAAACACAGCCCTATCAGAGTCCATTACCGGAAATTGCACTACTCGTGAAAAATTTAAACAAGCCTCCACCATCAAAAGCTCCTGACGACAAACTTATAGTGTTTTACAAGTAAATACATACATATTTTTAAAAATTTCATTGTAATATAGATACATATTAATAAGAAATTTAAGGTTTTGCCATAAATTTCCGTTCACAAATTTTTAATTTTATATTCGACTATAAACATAAGCAGTCGCAGTGGTGATATTATATGTATTAACTTTTACTGATATTCGTTACTAGAAATGAATTTTTGGCTGTGAGAAATGCGGAAGGGAGCTTTTATGTATGTCAAGCAATGCAGAATATATACAAATCAAGTAGGCGAATTCGTATACGTTGGCTTTCCCAAGATAAAAACAATGGCGAAATATATTCTCCAGATTTTTATGATTGCATAGGTAATCTTACGTAAAACTATTTTAATCTCAATTCTTGCTTGTATATCAGCAATATTTATACACTGTAGGTCAAACTCATTTATTGTTTCATTCTTTGAAATTTCAGATTTTGATTGTATATTGACGAACCTGAATTTGAACAAGATTGATAAAAACAAATTTCAGTTAACAAAGATAGAATTATTACGTACAGAAAATATTTTGAAAAGAGCAATTGATGTCGAGGCTGGTGTATCTGAGAAACCTCGTGTGACGGAAGAACACCCAGATGGACGTTAGTACTTTAACATTACTTGTACAACATCTTGAATCATTGAATAGATCGTATTATATGTTCCATTTCTATCCAAATAATAAAACTAATTTTAAGTTTTGCTAATAATAATTAATGTATTTGATTTTCTGCTAATTCGGTATTATCTGTTTATTATTTACATTGCTCAAGGATCATAAAAATGTTCTGTGCAATTGAAATTTTAATATCTTATCCACAGTTGACCTTTCACTTTACAAAGATGAGTCACAGTTAATGAAAAAACAAAGTCACAACTCGCACAAACAGAAGCAAAGTTTACGTAAGAAATCAAAACGAATTGAAAGCTCTTCCGAGGATGACGGTACCGAGGACGAATCGGGAAAGAAATCACCAAAATCGAGTCGTTCTAGAAAGCGATCGGTTAATAAAACATTGGCAATCGTAAAATCTGTTGCGAAGGGATCCAGTAGAGCAGAAAGAGCACTAAACAGAAATACAAAAACTTCTGGTCCTGAAGCCGGTACAGCTACCAACACCACTGCGACTACTACTACTACCACCACAGTAGCCACGTCCGTCACGGCAACAGGCACAAGTAAAAGTAATACTGAGGTTAAAAAAAATGAGAATAAAAAAAACGTGAAACAGCAGAATAATAACGACACGAGTGGAGTGCAAAGGACGAAACTGCGTGGTAAGAAGATTTGTTCTATAATTGATTATTATATTCGTAACTTTTAATCAGTGAATTTCAGTAAATGCGTACGATCTGATTTTCAGCATCAGCACAGAACACGCAACAAAGTAACAAGACAGCAGGACGTCCAAAGCGTACGGCAGCGACCGCGGGTACTGCATCGACCGAGGAACCAGCCCCACGAAAAAAGCCACGCGGGCGAGCATAAAATTAACGTAATTTACATGTATTTCTTATACTACATTTAGCAAGGAATCTGCACCGTAGGCAATATGTACACGTAGTACACTCTTTAAAAATTGCGATCGATTTTTAATGTAATATATATGATCTCAAGATTCTTATATCTCTATCAGATGCTGCATTATATTATAGTCCAACAAATGTGGGATCAATGATTTATATAAACTGCGCTACAAGTCGCATTTAAACGGAAAAAAGACTCAGAGAATTGTAAGAGTGATTTGTGATATCATAAAAAAAAATGTACATATCGTCTACGTTTCAGATTCTTACAGGTGAAAGAAAGTCACGTAACGCGTATGAAGAACGGTACCTTGGTTGAGTAATAACTATCTACAGGGTGTCACATGCTAACGCACTCTTGCAATAGTCTATTTTTGATGTTGTGAATGAACTGTACGTGATTCAGTTGAGTTTAATTGTACACTTTCCATTGGATATTATAGCTATGTACAAATATATATGTCTGGGGCTTGTAATGTACTCTATTGGAGAGATGAAGAAGAGCACAAAGGGGAATAGAGTACTGGAGAACAATCTGTGAATTATCGATCTCTAATGTATGGATCGGTAGATTTAGAAGTACAATATCTGTACATTATGCTGAATCCTTGCTGTTTAAAAACTACAAGTTGGTCCAGCGCCTATATTAAAGACAGGCAGAGAAGAAAAAAGTGCCCTCAATTGTAAATCCTTGTCCTGTTGTTGAATCTATAGATTCATGAGAAAAAAAAAGAAGAAAGATGAGAATAATCTTACGGCTGGAGGTGTAACGCGTTAACTGCAGTTTACTTTCGAATCATTTATGTTAATGATTTTA